AGAGTAGCGGGGTAGGAGGAGGAGTGGGGGAGAAAGCATGCCCAGGATGATGGCCATGCTGCAATCCCTTCTCCTCTCAGGATTTGAGGCACACACTCACACATGACTGGTGTGTTTTTCAAGCTCCTGGTGCTGGGACTCGAGCTGCACAGTTTGCCATGTGGGATCCAGCTGCGCTATAACTACAATAGCATCAGCTGGTCTAAGAAGTATGGAATATTTACCAGTCAGAAATGGGGGAACTAGAGCATATCAAATCAAGGAGGCTAAAGATCAGCAAAAAAAAATGATGCAGATGGATTAAGACAATCCTTATGGATTCTTGGCAGTAAAGGCTTCAGGCAAAAGCATATGCCGTCAAACATGGGAGCATAGTTTACATCATCAGCCTTGGTCTTAACACATTTCAGAAACAAAAGATGAGAGAAATCCTAAAGAATGTATCCAGAAATACTACAAGGGTAAGGGCAGAAACCCGAAAACCATCGGCTGACTGCCATCAGCAGTGGTTCACCTGGAGATGCCTGGGTAATATTACTTTGATAAAATAAAATAATAATAAAAGTAAAATAAAGTCTGTGATGTTGAAGGGGATTAAAGAAAAGGCCTGTCAGATGAAAAGAGGTTCATTCTTCAGAGACATTTTCTTTAAACTTTCATTTTATGGGTTAGCAGGTGGCAGTGGTGATGGTGCTGGACTCCCACATGGCTGACCACGACTTGAGTCCCAGAACTGGTGGCTTACTTTCTCACTCTCTCTTTCTGTCTCTCTCTGGTAAGTGTATATGCCCTATAGCAAATTCTAAAAAATAAAAAGTTTTAAAAAAATCTTATTTTATGCAAAAAGTAAAAAAGCACGTAAGAACAATCATAGCTGGCTTAGCTTTTCTGAAAGTTACACACAAATGAGTCTTTCTGTTCTCTGTGACAAACTATCAGTTAAGCAAAGGCAGAAAGTATTTTTTTTCCCTACTTTCACTGAATGCTACTCAGACAACCAATATTAGAACTCAGTGTGTGCCAAACTTGGATTTTTTTCAAAGCGTCATTTGAGTTTTAAAGGCTACATAAGTGATGGGAACATAATCGTCTTGGGAATCCACAAATAACTTTTAAAAAAGTCATAAATCTGGATTTCATGCCTCATAGTTTTCAACAACTCAAGAAACATGTCAAAACTTGAACACGGTAAGTTCTTTTTTCTCTTTAGTGGTCTAAAGGCGGACTACCCTGGGTCTTTTCCACACGCTTTAGAGATAACAACTGGAACGATTCAGCAACATTTGCTTCAGACTTTTTTTTGATTGCTTTTAACCCTTAGTTTTCAAAACTCATGACAAATTACATATGGAAGTACTTCTTGGTTTTATAGAAACTTTTATTTGATCCTTTAAAAACTGGAAGGTAGGTGGTAAGAAATTTGTAAAGCATATAAAAATACTACTGATAGATCAGCTCCATAGTATTATTGTTAAGTCAGGGGTCTCAAGCAAAACTTCGGAAAGGGCTGCACCCCAACCACCCTACAGTGTTCTGTGGGTCTTTAATCCTTAGAGAAGTAGTCTTTACTCTAGCAACATGGTAAAATCACTTGAGAAACTGTTAAAGTATTGTTTCAGTGGAGCCCCCCCCCCCCCATACACACACACACACTCAAGTCAGCACACCTGGGGCGGGGGTGAATCCTGGGCATTAGGCATTTTTTAAAGCTCCCTGGTGAATCTAATAGGCTGCTGGGCTGAGAAAGGATTATAACAGTAGTTCTCAAACTTGACTGCTGGGGAATTTTAAAAAATACCAGTAACTTGGGCCATAGTCCAGAACATTCTGATGTAATTAAAGGAGGTGTGGCCAGAAGTTACAAACTCTCCCAGGTGATTCTGAGAGGAAAGGACCAAATTAGAATCATAAAGGCTCAGAACAGCAAGCAGATTTTATGATTCTAACAGCCATGAGCTTAGAAGATAACTAAGTTCTTATAAATGCACAGATCCAAAAAAAGACAAAAAGTGAAAGAAAAAAAAAAACAAAGGGGTGTGTGTGTATGTGTGTGTGTGTGTGTGTGTGTGTGTGTGATGAAAACAAATCAGTTCAGATACTGAAATCTCCATTCCAGAGCAAATTCCAATTCCAAAGTAAAAGATGAGCTTCCTTTTTGTTGAAAATGGTTCTACGATTCTCACTGCATTTTTTTTTTCTTGGTCTTATCTTTAGACCACTTGTCTTTCCTCTACACATTCACAGGCATTTCTATCACCTGGCTCAGCCATGGTGCTTGACGCCAGCAGGGTAGGTCAGGCAGGTGAGGTCTGGTGTCCTCTGGCCTCTGGCCAGGGTAGAGATTCGCAGGCCCTGAGGTGCACTCCCACTTTGGGCATAGGTCAGTTCTGTCTATCCTTGGCTAGCCCTCCAGCTCACATTGCTGGGAGGGAGTGCTCTCCTTGGCCTTAGCCAATCCTTAACTCCTAGAACCTGCACAAAACTAGTATTCCAAATAAAAATATTGGCTCATTGGGAAAATCATGACATAGTTTTGCATAGAAAAATATGTCATGACTTTTCCGATGACTTAATAGTTGGCCTGGTCTTTCCAGGCCCACCAGCACATTATGGGCACACAGCCTGCTTTATTGCCAAGTCTATCCTGGGCCCTGTCAGGGAGGACATTTTTATTTCCTTACCCACTGCTAGGTTCATGGCTGAACCCCCTTGAGCAAATGAACAAGACAGATAACGAAAGTATACAAATGTATTTAAAATATGTTTTACATGACATGGGAGCCTTCATAAAGGAAATACAAACGATCTTGCTATAACATGGTAACCCCAAATCTGAGAGAGCCTGGATGTAAAGTTTACCTGATCCAAAGAAGTCATCCCGAGGACCAGCAGCCATTGGTTTCTCTGACTTTTGGGAGGCATGGATGGCAGCTGGTCAGTGAGGACTCTGTGCTTCTGCTTGGTGCTGCTAGTTATAGTTATCCAAGCAAACTTAGGCAAATGTACAGTCTTCTCTAGCCCTTACAGTTAGTTTTAGAATAGCTAATTATGTTCACTCAGCTCAGCTGCCTGAACTCTGCACCTCATCACTGGGGGTCTGCATACCCTTTAGAGAACAGCCTTCCTTGGCCCAAGACTGCTCCCTGAGGGAGAGAGTAGAGGGAAGTCAGAGATGGGGTGGGAGTCCATGTCAGAACGATACCCAACACTTGCGTTATTTTTATGCTTAGGGGCTATGAAGAGGAGGATAGTTGTAGAGAATAATCATTGGACAAAGAGTGGCGACCTAATGGTAACAGGCTGGGAGGGAGGTGTTTAGCAAGGCCTGTTTGTTCACACTCTTCTCTATGTCCCTGGGTCCTCACATAGGGAGGGAACTTCTGGAATGAGGTTCTTATGACATGCCTCAGGGAAGAAGAACCAGGGAAAGATGTAGTGATCTTGTTTCTATGGTTTCCTTATTTGCCAGAGTGCCATATTTTGGAGTGGCTCGTTCTGAACCCCATCACCTTCTTGGTATTCTAATGGTGTGCTGAATCTTTGTTTCACTATGATTTGCCTACCGCACTTTCTCATGTGCATCCTTCTCCCTCCTAGAGTATCTCCATCCACCATGGTACTGCTTACTGTCGGGGAAGGAGACAGGAAGAGGCATTTCCTCCTGTCCCCTGCTTTGGTTGACAATCACTGTCTGAGACTATAGGAGAGAAGGAAGTTCCCTCTAACTAGGGCAGGGATCTTTGTTAATAGAAAACAAACCCCAGATACTTTATATAAGTGAGGCTTTCTTTTTTTTTTTTTAAAAAGCATTTATTCATAGCCATATTTTGGTTCAAGATTTATAAAATGCAACAGCAATCTTTTCTGTAATTTCCTGACTGAATTAAGATGAGTTATATTTGATTTCTCAAAAGTTTTCCCCCCTTTCTTTTTAGGTTGCTAGATGTTTTAGATAATTTATTCTATACACAAGTAAATTAAAAAATAAAAACTATCATTTCAAGGTTTCAAGAATTTGTTTTTCCTTATAATCAGGTATATTCTTCAAAGCATGAGAAAAGCACTCTTCAGAATCTTGTAATTCTTTAGATTTAGCAACTTATTGGGTGCTCATAGGAGCAACTGAACTTAACAAAATTTAAACACTGACAAATTTTATTTAAACAAAACTTACCAGTCTGCATTCTAAAAAGGAAATTAGCTTGTCATTTTCATTTTATACAGGAATAACTGCTATAATTACCAAAACTTAAAACATACATCTTTCTACCTCCTTCCAATGAAGGCACAGCAGAGTGGCACTAATCTTGTCCCTGCCTACTGAGTAAGTGAGGAGGACAAAGGCCAGATCATATTTGCTGTGTTCCCCCTTCAGAGTCTAGCATACAAGGTTCAGCCACTCAACACACACAAGTGGTCTTCAAAAAGTGCACTGAAAACGTGTATCATGAAAATGCTACACAGAGATTTCAAATTTTTTTGCACTAAAATAGACATGCACTTTAATTTCATTTTTCTGTGAAGTTTTTGATGTCTCATAATATCATTGCCTTATAAGATGATAGAGGTTCATAATGTTATGTGTTGGTTTAAGGACATAGTGTAGTTCATTTATACAATTTATCTGAAGCTGTCTTTGGTTACTGTGTGCCTGAAGAGGCTGAGCTGAGACAGGGAAGGTGCAAGGCCATATTCTCATCACCATGACCTTCTAGAACCTGTGTCCTACCAGCCACAGTGGGTGTGATGATCAAAGGAGACAAGTACCAAAGAGCTTGCTGAATTAAATGTCACATAAAGGTTAAAAAAAAAATCAATGGGGCTAGCTGTTGGCATGGTAGTTAAGGTGGCTGTCCATTTTGAGTCCTGGACCCAGTGGCTTGAAAAACACACAGGCACATGTGCCCAAAATCCAGAGAGGAAAATAGAGGAGAAGAGCTTACTGTGTGGCCATCCCCTGAGGAGTGATTTCTCACTTTTTCTACCTCTCTCTGTCTCTGGCATGTACCTTATAGCAAAAACTAAAAAACAAAAATAAAAACTAAACAAAACCACATCAAAATGAATATAATCACTTAGTTGAATACTGAGTTATGATCTTGAAAATGTCCATATGTCTGCCAAGTTATTATTTTTTGTGGCAAAAAAAAAATAAAAAGAAAGTTTTATTTATGCCAAGTTACTTTTTAAATTGACATGCCAACCAAACATAAAAAGTGCACTTATTTTCATGGAAACCAGATCCTTACAGCAATAGAATACTGACTTGTATGAAATTCAGAGAATGCAAATGACTAGTGATGGTTTCAGAGATAGGTACCAGTCCCACTTCAAATCTCTTAAAAAAATTGCCAAAGGGCACATGTGTTTGTCAGAGAGAGAGAGAGGGGGAAAATGAGAAAGGAATTCCTTGGGAATGATCACCCACAATCTCTTTTCCATTTTCCCCTCTTTTGGAGATTTTGGGCATGTAATGCATGACCGAAAACATGGTCTGCTTGTTTTTCAAGCAGTCGAGTCCATGACTCGAATAGTGCAGTTGGCCATGTGGGATCCAGCTTCCTTAACTACCGTGCCACTGTCTGGCCCATGCTTAACTTTTAAAAACTTCACTAAGTTATCATTTACAAACAATAAAATGTACTCATTTTATTTATTTATTAGAGAAAGATTTTTGCTATAGGGTTTGTGTGCTCACCAGAGAGACAAGAAGAGAGAAATGAGATGAGGAGATGGCCATGCTGCAATCCCTTTTCCTCCATTTTCCTCTTGGGATTTTGGCCACCCATGCACATGTGCCCAGAATGAGTTTTAAGCCACTGGGTCTGGGACTCCAACCACAGTTGACTACATGGGAGTCCAGTGATGTGACCATTACATCTGCTGGTCCCATATACCCATTTTAAATGTACAAACTATGATGATTGGACATATTGATGCAGTAACATCTCAATCAAAATGTAGAATAATTATATCATCCCAATAAGTCTACTTATGTCATTTTATATTAATTACGATTCCATCCATAGACAACCACTGATGAGAGAATCAAAGACAAAATAGAGTTGGCCTTTTGAAAACTATACATATTAGTGAGACTATGAAAACAAGCATATGGATACAGGCAGGAAACTAATGCTTGGGGGAGAATATCAACAAGGCTAAGCAGTGATGTCAGGGGACTGATGCCCTGGGTTTAGAACACAGCGGACACACACACAGAGAAATACACACATACCTACACACATGTAGACAATATACACATGTGTACGCACATACCCATGGATATAGAGACACACATGAACACACCTACATGATAATACACATACACATGTACATTTGTGTGCACACACATGCATACATGTGTGTATATATATATATATATACACACATATATATACACACACACACACACACACATTACATTTTATTTTTTATTTCAAGACCATACTTCCCAGGCCATATTTAATTTATTGCATATCTTAAAATAGTCAAAAAGGAGTACAATCTGAAAAGACAAAACAAATATGCTTCAGAGAGTGGGGAGAGGTCAGACCCAGAAGCAGAGTTTAAAAGAGTAAAGTATGCAGAGTTGGGCCAAGAGGTGACTAAGAGGGCAAGAGATAAGATCTGTCTACAAATACCTGGAGGTTGTAAACAACAAGGAAAGCGACAAACCAAACCAGCCAACAACAAAGGCTGACCAGGAATTCTCTGTGTATTAAGGAAAGGAAATGAACTGCAAGGCGAGGAGCCTTCCCACTTTAGGACTTCGTGGGAGAGCATAGCCTTGTTGCTGCCTCCCTCTCCTCTCCTCCTCCATTGCCCATGCCTTCCTCCCTGACAGTCTTCTAGGGTCCCTGGACTGTCCTCACAGAGTGTCACATCTGGCTCTCCCTTCCATTTTCATGAGCACTGTTGTAGGCAGGTGTCCCATCTGGTTTCTAGGCCACCCACCCAGCAGTACTTTTAGCTGTATCTCCATCTGCCTTCACTTCGCTACCGTGGAAATCCTTGCAGAATACGACAGCATGTCCCCCTGCTCTGAACCCTGCTGGATAAAGTATAACACTCTTTGTTCTTACGGCTTTCTGTGATCTGGCTCTTAATTCCCTTCTCTCCTTTCCAACCAGTACCTTCTTTAATTCTTTGGATCAAGGGCATGGGTCTTCTGAAACTCTGTACAGCATTTTTTATCTTGTTACCTCCTTCAACCACACTCAATTTTAACTCAAGAAATTTATGGTGTGTCTTCCATAAACAGTGCAGAGGATTAAAAAAATGAAAACAAAATATTCAGACTTTGCTTTTAGGAAGTACAAAATCTAAGAGAAAAAGCATACAGAAATGACAAATTCAACTACTATATATTAACCATCCTTTCTATCCTACAATATTTATACTAGTGATAAAAACATGACTATGAAACCAAAAAGAGTGTGAAATTAACTTTTCAGGAAGCTCTGGGGAATACTCCTCAGAAAAGCATGTTCTTTAGATAATTAGGAAAAGGATGTGAACACTATGTGTGTGGTGTATATGTATGTTAAATGTGTGTGTGTGTGTGTGTGTTGAGTATGTGCATGAGTGGTGTGTGTGTTGTGTGTGTGCATGGGTGGTGTGTGTGTGTATGTGTGTGTTCACCGAGGATGACAGTGGTAGGGCTGGAATGTCATGATGTCAGTGGGCACAATGGGGAGGCCTGACAGGAGGAGAGTGGTACAGCTTGGTTTCAGGCAGGGCAGGGTAAGCTGTCTTGTGCAGTCAGCTAGCATTTGGGCAGAGAAGGCAAAATAAAAATGCAACCTGAGGGAAGGTGAGGGGAGCAAGTGTTTTACTCAAAAGTTTGACCTCGAACTTGCAGACAAAGAGGAATCTCTAGGAGTTTAGAAGCAGTGTATAACTTGATGACATCTGTTTTCCATAGATACACTGAGAAAGATCACTGAGATCAGAAGGGTGGGAGTGGAGGGTGGGAGAAGCAATTAGAAGATATAGCTGCTGGTCCTTCAAGCACCTGGGGGTTGGTAGAGATGACTCCAGGGTTTACAGTCTATGTGGCTGCAGGTCAGTTCTGCCAGTATGTAGGGAGTTTATTCCATCCTTCTTAGTTTATTCCATCCTGCCCCAGTTATATTTTCTCCCATTCTTCCCCCATACCTTGTCATTTATCTATACAGATTTGGTACATTTAACAGTTATGAAGTGCTCATCAAACTCTGTTAAGTACTGCACCACCCCTTTTCTAGCTGAGCTGTCTATCTAGTGGCTTTAGCTAACATCTCATGAATGCACTCACCTAGGGGTAACTGTAGCTCCGACAGGAACCAAAACACAGACCTTTCATACATGGCCTGCAGTTTCTTGGATTACCTTAGGTATCTACTGCATCATTTACCCTCCCAAACAAAGTTTAAAAAACCTCACAGAGGCTCAGTCTTTTAACCTCATAGTAATTGTTTTGTTCAGTATATTTAGTCAATGAATAACCAAAAGAACCTAACTAAAGATAAACTTTTCCATAGAGCTGTAAAATTTCTGTGCTGTGACATATAGAGTCTCTGCCAGTCTAGGAAGAGATGTGATCCTGCAAGCCTAGACATGCCTTCTGGGTGGAGCACACTAGGGATTTGGTCCGTGGGAAGTTTAATGGCC